ACAACCAAGCTCATAACAGTTGCTATCGGAGCGAGATTGGAATTGGAGCACTGAGGGTTGAGCGCACTGAGGCATCTTCTTCATCCTGGTGATATACTGGCGAGAGTTTCATGGCGATTCATCTTCCCCAGTACTGAGTCAGCAGGGAAGAAGGTTTTCAGCGGTGGATTCAAGTGTTCAGTGGTTGCACTGAACAAGCGCACTGAGCCTGTTAGGCCGCTTGGCAAGGAGTGGCGAGTATAGGGCTAATTTGCCATAGCCAACCCTGAGGGTGATACAACGAATTACCCCAGAGTGGCGAATTACCCCTGAGGACATCAGGGAACCCTGAGCGGCAGGATCCCTGGGTGGCGCTGGGTGAGATTGACATTCTGGATCAATCTCCAAAAAGAATAACCCCATCTGGGGCTATTTTTAGTATCAGCGGCCACCTGGCACTGTGGCGAGATATTTTGGAGTTGGCGAATTGGGTGCCACAGGACCAGATACAGGGTATCTGGAGTAAAGGGGTTCAGCGCCACAGGATCCTGAAGAGGATCAACAAGTTTGAAGCAGTTCTGTGCGTGGAAGCATCAGGAAGAAGCTCTGGAGGAAATTGGCGAGATCAGGGTATCATCAGCCATAGCCAGATCTTCATCATCACCTGCAAGATTCTCTGCAAGTGAGTCCGTTCCATGCACCTACCTGTATTGCAATCCAGATAGTAGTAGATTAGTGAAGGATAATGGTCTATCTGTCTGCCAGTGACTATATATGAAAATCGCAGACTGCCTGACAGCCATAGCCATCTCTCCCCTACCTCTCTCTGCTCATATCTCATCATCTGTTGACTCCTTCCAGTCCAAACTTGTCCTGTGACAGCTATACTGTTTTGCAATTGTCCTGGGATGTTCAAACACTGAATTCGGCACTAGAAAAGTAGTGATACTTTGAATTGCTGTTTTACGCTGAGTCTATTTTTAGCCTGTGCTATCTAGGGTCAGTCATAACTTCAATTATGTCCGTCAGAATTCAGTTATGTCAGTCCCCAGTGAATCGCAAAGTGAAAACAGTCAGTACTGTCAAATCGTAGAGTTGGATTTCTAGTATTTCACTGGATACAGTGAAAACTGGAATTCACCATACCCTAGGGTATGGCCGCCAGAGTCATCAGGGTCTGAAATTGAGTTTGCGTCAGGTTACAGGGTATCTGTCTGCATCGCTTGTGGCATTTGATCTCTCTGTGTCTGTACTAACCATTTCTATCATTCCCACTGACTACTCTTGTTTTCTAGTGGACACTGGAACTTCTAGTGGGTCTCTGAAAGACTAGTGGAGTGACTGTGTTACTTCCGGTATGATCCAGGGTCAGTAAAAGGAAATCGTGTGAACTGATTTTGCTGGACTTGTAGTCTACCTGACACCTGACCCCAGAGACACCCTTCTAACCCCAAACCGTTGATTGCCTACTCACCCACCTACTCCAGTGTTGAGTGCTGCAGCGGTTCCAGGGTATCTGCAGGAATTTGTGTATCGCTGCAATTCTTTCTGCTGTTATTTTATTTCTGGGTTTTATTTGAATTGGGAAAATGTCCCAACAGGGGGATGAGCAGCAGCCACATGTGCAGGTTGTGGTGAAGGCAGAAGGTGAGCAACTTTCTGCCTCCACTGCACCCCCTCCACCTCCGACTGCTACTCAAAGGCTGAAGAAGTAGGCGGAAGAACAGCTCAAACTGCCTCAGGCCAGGGTAGCCGAATTGGAACGGCAGGAGGCTGCTGAGCTAGAGGCTGCAACAGATCACTTCAGAACGGAGTATCTGTTACAGCAGCTAGAGAAGTCACTCACTGAAGACCATTGTGCCCAGATCACCAACACATGGCTGAGATGATCCTGCTGGAGCACAAGATCACCAGCTCCCAGTTCACAAACTGGGATGATCGTTTTGTGCGGCTGGAGCGTCGGGTTGACGAGCTGTCAGCTCAGCAGTCCAAGATCCTGGACTCTATCCAGGGCTTGTCTGCTCAGCTGGCAGCCGCCAAGCTGATTACTCCTCAACTCCCTCTGCTGAAACCCAAAACCTCTCCTCCTCCTTCACCACCACCTTCCCCTCCTTCATCCCATGGGGGATCTGTACATTCTTCCCGGTCATCTACTCCTTCCCAAAAGGCCTCAGCAAAGGCCACCTATGCTGCTGTGACTGCAGCAGACAGAGGTCCCAAGATCCCTGCTCCCAACAAGTTCAGGGGYGATGACCCCAAGACTGATGTTGGGGACTGGGCTGCTGGGACCAGAGCCTACTTGAGGGGCTTTGTCTGTGCAGAACAGACCAAGGTGGCAACTGTTTTGGGGCTGCTGGAAGGGCCTGCGCTGAAGTGGGCCACCTCAACTTCCAGCAGTCTGCAGCAGTCCATGGAGGACTGGGCCTTTGGGTTGGGGGTAGACAAACTTCTGCAGGCCCTGGAGGACCGGTTTGCAGACAAGGAGCGGGCCCGCAAGGCTGCTGACAGGATTGCTCGCCTGGGACAGCAGCGGTACAGCGGCACCCTACAGGCCTTGTTTGCTGAGTTCGAGCAGCTCACCTCCACCCCTGGGCTGGTCATGGTACATGATGATATGTTGACCAACTTTTGCAGGGCCGCGCCTGAGAAGTTTGTTGTTGCACTTTACAGCGCTGGGTACAAGGACTGGAGGTCCTTTGGTCGTGCAGCCCTGGAAATGAAGGCCAAGCTCCATGTCCAGGCCCCAACCTCTGACAGGAGGAAAGGTGCCTTCCCTAGAGGCAACAGAAGGGGAAAGGCAGCCTTTACTCATGCGGGGTCTGCCTCAGGATCAGATACCGAATTCTCAGCCTGATGTGCCTTCAGGGGGAATCGGATCTGCTGCTGAGACAGATGTTGCAACAGTAGTGACTCAGGCTGTTTTGGGTGCTCTGCAGTCGCAGAGAAAGTTTTCCACCCCCACAGCCTCAGCCACTACCAAGGGGAAGGATAAGGGACGTCGTCCTTCCTCTTCCCAGCGCCCTAACCTGCCTAGAGTCGTCCACATGCCAGCTGACCCTCTCAATCCCTCCACACTCCCCTGGCATGACCTCAAGATCCAGGAGGGAGTCCGGAGAAGAAGAAAGGAGAAGGGGGTCTGCCGGAGATGTGAGGGACAACACTTCTTAAAGGACTGCCCTTACATGCCAGGCCCGGGTCAGTCAAAAAACTGAAACAGACGCTGGGGACTGCAGTTCCCTCCAGTGCTGCATCTTCATCTATTCAGATAGGTGAATCTGCAGCTGTTTCAGTTGAGACTGTTGGTGATGATGTGTGATTGGGGACTGCGCGGGCAGCATCCTTCTGCTATGAGGATCCTGAGCCGGATCAGGACCCGGGGTAGGATGAGCTTCAGTCCATTGCTGCCTTCTTCTTCCACTTGAAAGAGCAGAAGAAGAAGGGCCTGTCTGAACTCATCATGCTTCGGCCACTGATCAGCCGCACCAGGATCAAGGGGCTATCGGACTGTGGAGCCACCCGAAACTTCATATCTCCCAGTGCAGTCAAAAAACTGCATCTAGGTATGAAAGTTCAGCAGTTGCAGCAGCTGCTGCAAGTGCGAATTGGTGACTCTACGGTGATTAGCATCAGGGAGAAGGTCAAGGGTATCCCTGTGACCTTCGATACTACAGGAAAAGTCAGACACAGTCTGAACTTTTACATCTTCCCTGAGCTTCCCTTTGACTTGGTGTTCTCCATGCAGTGGTTGTGGGCAGTCAACCCTAGGATCGACTGGCAGATCCCTAGAGTTGAACTACCAGACAACCAGGGGGTGTATCAGCAATGCATGATTGCTGCTGAGCACCACCCTAAGACCTCCTGCTACTGCCTGAGAGCGAGGGAGTTCCATGCTCTCTCTCGCCAGTACCATCATGAGCGCCTGTTTATTGCTTTGGTCAAGCAATCAGATGCTCCCCCTGTTTTCTGTCCTCCTGAGATACAGCAGGTGGTAGATCAGTATGCTGATCTGATGCAGGAGCCCTTTGGATTACCCAACCGGCCAACCAAGCATCGCATTGAGCTGCTGCCTGGAGCGGTTCCCCCCAAGGGCCGCATCTATAGGATGTCCCCTGCTGAGCTTGAGGAGCTCAGAAAGCAGCTTGAGACCCTGACCAGCAAAGGCCGAATCAGACCCAGCACATCTGAATTCGGTGCACCTGTTCTCTTTGTACCCAAAGGGAACGGCAAGTTCAGGATGTGCATTGACTACAGGGGTCTCAATAAGATCACTAGGAAGAGTAYTGAGCCACTTCCTAGGATCGATGACCTCCTGGATAGGGCTGCACAGTGTTCAGCAAAGTCGACCTCAAGTCTGGCTATCACCAGATTGAGATGGCAGAGGAGGATGTCTACAAGACAGCCTTCAAGACCAGGTATGGGACTTACGAGTTCCTGGTCATGCCATTTGGACTTTGCAATGCCCCAGGCACCTTCCAGACTGAGATGCACCGCATCTTCAGGCCTTACCTGGACAAGTTTATGGTTGTCTACCTGGATGACATCCTGGTATTCAGCAAAACTGCCAGGGAACATGCGGAGCACTTGGCTCTAGTTCTTCAGTCGTTATGTGACAGCCAGTATAAGATCAACAGAGAGAAGTCCTCTTTTGGAGTTCCCTCTGTCATCTATCTGGGTCATGTAATCTCTGGAGACGGCCTGGCTCCTGAAGCAGCCAAGATTGCTGCTATTCAGGAGTGGCCTCAGCCTCAGACAGTGAGGGATGTTCGGTCCTTCATGGGTTTGGCCTCCTACTACAGAAAGTTTGTCAGGAACTTTTCTGCAGTGGCTGCACCCCTGACTAACCTAACAAAGAAGGACACTCCCTTTCTTTGGTCCCTCCACTGTCAGCTGGCCTTCACACGACTCAAGAAGGCCTTGGACTCGTGCGGCTATCCTGAAGTTACCTGACCCCACTCTGCCATTCATCCTGACCACTGACGCTAGTCCGTATGGCATTGGGGCAGTACTTTAGCAGGATGATGGGAATGGTCTACGGCCTGTAGAGTTTATGAGTAAGAAGATCAAGGCTCAAAAGCTCCAGGACTCTACCTACGAGAAAGAGCTGTATGCTCTTGTCTGTGCCCTGAAACACTGGAAGCACTTTCTCCTGGGCAGGCACTTCAAAATCTTTTCAGATCACTCCACCCTACAGTGGATGAAGTCCCAGGGAGAGTTGAACGATAAACTGGCACGGTACATTCAGTTCATAGACATGTTTGACTTTGAACTGAAACACAAGAAGGGCTGCTACAACAAGGTAGCAGATGCCCTCTCTCGTAGGCCTAACTCTTTTGCTCTGATCTCCTCTACTCACTCCTTTGGAGTGGAGACCCGTCAGACCATTGCTCGTCTACTGCCTCAGGACGAGACTTTTGGACCCATTGTCAGGAATCTGCAAGAAGATCCTAACTCTGAACCAGGCTATGCTCTGAGTTCAGACCTGCTGTACACCTACAGTAGAGGTGAGGAGCGCTTGTGCATTCCCCAGGACCAGTGGCTCAGGACACTGCTGCTGTCAGAGTGTCATGATGCTCGTGGACACTTCGGGTTCCTGAAGTCTTACGCAGCCCTATCGCAGCGCTTCTTCTGGAAGGAGATACAGAGTGAGATGTTGCGTTATGTGGACACCTGTGAGCTCTGCCAAAGGAACAAGGTTCAGCGTAAACCTCCTTTGGGACTGCTCAAACCCTTACCCATACCTGATGGCCCTGCCCAATCTGTGTCGATAGACTTCACAGATTTAGGCAAGACCACCCCGCGTGGCATGCGTCAGGTTATGGTCTGCGTGGACAGGTTCTCCAAATACGCAGAGTTCATCCCCTTGCCAGAGGTAGCTAGGGTACCGGCTGTGAGAGCAGCCTTCTCTGAGAGGTGGGTCACACACCATGGACCACCCACCTCTATCGACAGTGATCGTGACCCCAGATTCTGCAGTGATGAGTGGCAGTCCTACTGCAAGGACTATTTGCACTCACGTCTGGACATGACTTCTGGTCATCATCCTGAAGCCAATGGATTGGCTGAGGTGATGAACCAAGTCTTATTCCAGCTGCTGCGTCCTGTCATCTCTCCAGATCAACAAGACTGGGATCTTCACTTGGCGAGGGAAGTGAAGAGGGCACAGCTCATGTATAACATGTCTGTCCACTCCTCGACAGGGTTCAGTCCCTACCGGTTGCACTGGGGACGTGAACCACGCCAGCCTCTCGATGATATCATCGACAAGGCTAAGCCTGATCTGACGCCAGGCACCGCAGAGTTCGTCAGACGCTATCGTCTGGATGTGGAAAGAGCCCGTGCGAACTTGTTCAAGGCCCAAAAGACCATGATTGAACAAGCCAATCGCCACAGGCGGCCTTCCCCCATCCGTATTGGTGATCATGTCTGGGTGGCCAGTTCTGAGCTGTCGAGGGAGGAGGATATTTCTCCCAAGATGTTGCCACGTTACCTGGGTCCATGGCAGGTCCTAGATACAGTGGGCGCTGATCCCTTCGGTCCGTCGTATGTCATCGACGTCCCGCTGCATCTACGCACCTACCCGGTCTTCCATGCATCCAAGCTGCTGCCTTTCACACCAGCTGATGCATTCCCTGACCGGCCCCCTCAATGGGGCCCACCAATCCCCGGTAAGGGATATGATGCGGTGGCCATTGAGGATGAGTGGGGCACAGACCCCGACCGGCAGTATCTTGTTAGGTTCGCTTTCCAGCCCCCTTCTGAGAACCGGTGGTTCTATAGAAGAGACCTGATCAAGACAGCAAAGTCTGTTGTACTGCGCTATGAGGCGGCTCGGAAGGGTGACCTTCGCTGTTCGCCTCGTCTGCACCCCTAGCTCGGAGGTCCTCGCCCCCGGGGAGGGTAAGCCTGCAATAACTTGCTGATTTCTGCTGTCGAGTTTGACAACGAGGCTGTACACTAACCCAGTAGGTTAGATTCGTAATTTTATTTGGCTGAGGGCTAACCGAGAGACCTGCCTGTAAGGAAATTCGTGAGGGACAAATCTGCAAGCCCGGGAAAATACAGGCCCGGTACTAACCGAATTCCTACAGCTACCCTAACTGCCTATAGCAGGCCCGGGCTACCACTAGGACAGACAGGCCCTAAGCGGCCTATACTGTTAGACGGTCCTATAGCCTACAGCCGGGTCCGGTAGAGGCCGAGAGGCCGAAAACAGCAACGGTACCGGTCGGTCAGTCAGTCCGGTCTAGGTCTAGGGAGTCTATAGATAGGTTAGGCCCGTCGGTTCAGGACTTTTTTTGGAGTTCATTTTCTCGCGAGCAGCGTTGGAGAAGCCAAGGAAGTTGGTGGYGGTACCGGTCTACAGGCGGCGTCCTGAGACAGTCCGCAACAGCAGCCATAGCCGTCCCTTACTGAGTCTGCCATAGCTGGGGCATCCTCAGCGCATCTACCCCTGGGGGTATCTGCGTCTGGCCGGGCTACTTCGAGGCTCTACATTGAGTGGTTCGTGGGTGGTGGCAGCCATAGCCGCCTGTTCCTTCGTCAGAGTTGTCCRTCGGCACTGAAGACTTCATCGCAGGACCTGTTCTTCATCAGGGTGGTTGGCGCTGGCCTCTGGGAGGCTGGTCTGATGCAGCGCTACTAACTGGGTGTAGGATAGAGAGTGGGGTGTTACCTCCACTGGGTACTAAACTCCGAAAATCGAAAAAGGGAGATAGGTTTCCCGGGGATGTTGAACTCAAGATGTTGATGTAATATTCTATTTTATGTGTATTTATTTTATGTCTATTATTGAGAATGTATTATCTATGAAGGAATAGTTCCAAAAGAAATACCAGACAGGGAACTTTTTACTTTGCTGTCCRATTTTTATCTTAATCTAAATATAGATTCAAACAATTTTGAAAAGAATGAATCAAATTTTTTGATAATCTAAATTTGATTCATTCTTTTCAAAATTGTTTGAATCCCATCTTAATCTACTATTGTTGGAAGTAACTCTGTTACGATAGTTGTGTGAGTGGCTCATCATCAGTGACAGTTTCAATTGTGATTGTTGGGAGTTGTGTCAGAGAGTGAGAAACACTGTGTGTCTTCTCCCCAGCTGTGCATGATTGTCTTCCGCTGCTTATCTTCACCTGTATGCAGTTTGGACTCTGTCTCCTCTCTCCACTTCTCTTATGCATGTATGGGCATGTGTGAGATTGTTTGTGTGTGAGTGGCAACAAAAGTCGTCAGACAACCAAGCTCATAACAAGGAAGTGTTCTTCAAACTTGTGTTGGTATTCTTTGGCCCTATCTTCGTCCTCTTTCATCCTTAGGCGTACTTTACGCCAAAGGACCCAGTATTCTGTTTCCACCTGTTGTTGGAGTAGTGTCCATGCTGTTTGGGTGTGCATTTTCTGTCTTTCTATTGTTTCTTGGCAAGTTGGCATCTTTTGCGCCATATTACCCAGAGTGTGGCTTTTCTGAGTATTCTGAAAAGGTTCTTCTCTAGTGGGCTCCACTTTTCTGGGTTTTTGAAGCCCAGTAGTAGAAGTATGCTGTTGTTTGTGAAGGTCGTGTCAGTTACTATGTTCCATAAATTTGCTACCTTTTGCCATAGTGGTTGTATTCTTGGACAGTGCAGGAAACAGTGGTATAGATTTTCTATTTGACCCTCCCTACAGTTGGCACATAGCTCTTTTAGTGGGCTTCTGCCTTCCCTCTTTCTCCTTTCGTTTAGCCATTGGTTTAGTGGGACTGCCAGGTAGAGGATTAGCCATTGGAGGCTTCTGAATTTAGGAGGATTTATCRACGCTAATTGGTTCCATGGTATCGGTTCTAGTGCTTCTGGTTCCGCGTTCAGGTGTCTTCTCCAGCGTTCTGTTATTATTGGGTCTGGGTTTACCGAACGCCGTCTTAGTCTATAGCCTAGCCTAGTTGTGTATTGTAACAGGTTGAATTTGGTGTTGATTCTTGAGCTTTCTTGTTTTAGGTTCCAAGCCCATTCTGCTGGGTCCACTTCTAAGTTCTCTAAGGGGGTTTGGGGACAATAAATGGTTAACTCTTCGTTTTCAACTACTCTTACCTTCCGGAGGTTATCTTCCCGGACTGAAACTTGTGCTGTCTGCTTTTTGTTGATTCTGTTGTAGTCTGCTCCGGGCTCTTCTATTTCGTGCATAATAAATATGATCCAGTTCTGTTTTTCCTCTTCCCTGCCGTAATAGGCTAGGGCGTGTTTTTGTTGTGGGTTACTCAGTAAAACTGCCCAGTCCCCTGTACTCCATTGTCTGCCCAGTCCCCTATACTCCATTGTCTGTCTTGTCTTAGTATTGTAACCCATTCTTGTGGAATGGATGTTATGACTTCCTGTAGGTTCTGGTTTAGTCTGTGGCACCCCTCGAGTTGTTGTCTAAGTTGGTTGCCTTGTTTCCATTACCTCGCGTTGTCATCCTAGATGTGTTGGATCTGACATATCCCTTTCTCCAGCCATGCCCCCCATTTTGTGTCTTTTGAGGTCAGAGTGAGTGGGTTTCCATTATCTCTTGTTATCCATTGGTTACAGAATAGGGGTTGTCTTAGGATTTCTTCGTTGTTACCCGACTTCCTGACCTTAGCCGGGAAAATCTCTCTCCAATCACGAATGACCCCTATCCAAAACCCTTGTCTTGACTCTTTCCTTGAATGTAATCTGGTGTGCTCCCCACCTTTCATTGACCATGATTTGCTCATTACCCAGAACGGGCCCTCCATATTGTCTGGGGTGTTGTATATTGGTAATTGTTTTATCCCGTCCAATGCTAAGTCTCTCCACGGTAGGGTAGGCCTGGAGATGAGTTTGAGGATCCATTTGGTTTGTAAGGCTTTTATCTGGGTTGTGGGGTCTAGGACTCCCAATCCTCCTTGGCTTTTTTTTCTGGTGACGTACTACCAGGCCACCTTAGTTATAAACTGTTGTCTGGAGGCGTCCCCGGTCCACAAGTATGCTGCGGCTTTCTTTTTTAGTTCCCTCAATGTTAGATGATCTGGTGCCCAGAAGGCGGCTACGTACCACATCATGGCGAAGATGGCTGAGTTCAGCACAGGGCCCTTCCATGTAGAGAGGTGTATATTTTACTCCAACTGCTTAACTTATTGGTCATCTTGGCCAGGAGGCTAGGAGACATTTCTGATTCAACTCCCTGTTCTGTCATTTGGATCCCTAGAACTCTCAAGGGGTCTTTTGTGTCTGACCACGTCATGCCTTCTGGGGTGTTTTGGGGTAGGTCAATAGTTCCATTTGTTAGCCACCATCCTACTGTATTCCTCCAGTTAATTCGCATTTCGGAAGCCAGTTGGTATGCATTCATTGCTCTGGTAAGGGCCTCGAAAGACGAGTTGGATGCTCTTATGAGAACGGTTAAGTCGTCAGCGAACAAGATTGTGGGGGTTATGTGGTGAGTTCTTTCGGGGTTATCCGAGGGATTTGTGAGTCTTTGTATGGATGGGTCTTTCCTGAGGAAGGAAGCTATCGCCTCCATAATGAACAGGAATATGGGGGCTGCAAGTGGATCGCCTTGCCTTACTGACCTAGACATCTTGTAAGGATTAGATATATGACCATACTTGAACTGCCCCGTGCGCGTCATTGTATAAGATTCTGACCCACTTTCTGAAATTGGGACCCACTCCCATTTTTTCCATGCATTGTTGAAGGAAATCCCAATTAACCTGATCATAAGCTTTCTCGAAGTCAAAAAAAAGAATTGCTGCATTCAACCTTTTGCCCTTGATGTATCTTACTGATTCCGCTAGGGTCATTACGTTGTCTAGTATGAATCTGCCTGGTATGAAGCCTGTTTGGTCTATGTGGAAGCAATTTTTGGTGATTTTCCTAATTCTGTTCGCTAAGAGTTTAGCTGGGATTGTTTTGAACTATATGGTTCTTCTTTACCTTGCATTCCATATAACCAGTGATTGACCCAAAACAAAAACAAAACGAAAGTGGAAAAAAAAAAACAGGTGATGCGCTAGCACCGCACGGTTAGCGGCAACACATTCGCGCTAACCCGCCGCCTGCGGACGAAGCAAGACCTCGCTATTGGACCACCGACCAGACGCCCACTACGTGCAGCCAGGCTCAAAGCGCGGGCAGGGAGTTTGATTTGCACTTGGGAACTCAGCGGAGGAGGAGAGAGTAGGGGGGTCGTCATCACCAGCCACGCCCTAAGGCGTGGCTCACCCAATCTTGTGAAGGAAGAAGAGGGGTGGAGAAAGCCAAGGGAGGCAGGACGTAGAGAAAAGTGGGGGGGGTCGAGGGGGAAGGAGTTTCGAATCGGAACTCGGATGGGAGAAACGGTGAAAGAGAAAGACGAGAAAGAGGGGGAAAAGAAGGAAACCGGGGAAGGAAGGCGTAATTATCGGAATAAACAAAAGGAAGCAAGGCGCCAAAGACGATCGGCCATCAAAGTGGACAAAGTGAGCTAAGAAAGCAATGTGAACACAACACGTAAAAACTTCCTCACCTATTTCCGGTAAGTAACAAAACCTGACCCCGCATACATTCTCCTATTTGAAATCCTATTCAAGGGTTGGGGCGAAGTAGCGAAGGCATCATCACTACGTGGATCGGTTAGTGCAAGAGGGCAAGAAAAAGGAAAGCAACAGACAAGGGTTACATGAGTGGATTAGGAACAAAAGCAGGGTGTCAGATGAGACCTTTGGACATGAGAACTGTTGAGCCCGAACCCCTCTCTGCTGCTTTTTGCTTTGAAGCAGATCTTTTAGACTTTCAGAGACTTCCTTCTCTCAACATTGCCTACGTATTCCTAAGAAGCTCAAGAATTTTCCTTTGAAATTCTCTTGTTCAAGCTTATCCCTACCAGTCTAAAGACACGGGGAAAGCCCGACCTTCTCCTCCACGGCACATTGTCTTTGCTGTACTCATTTCCTCTTTTGCTGTTCCAGCCGCGGTCCTCCTACCCGCACTACGCCTATTTGACGAGGAGCCTCTTGATACTATGAGCTGACATGCTCTGCGCCCCATAGTCCGGAGTGTTTTATGAATTTTTCTACCTCAATGTGAATACTAGCGTTTTGCTTTTTATAGATGCCAGTTTGCCCTCAGCAAGGCCATACTTTCGGAAGCCGCTAACTTGCACCAAGTATTTGTTCCACTTTGTCCAGGGTGCTTTCCATTTCTTCCCGACATTTCTTCCATGCGATCCTTACCTCTATTTCAACTTTTTGTTGACTCAATGACCAAGCCTCTTGCTCTAACATTTCTGGTTGTCTACGACGTCCTTACACCTCTTTTTCCAAAATATCCATCGCAGAGCTCTTCTTAACATGTGGAAAGGATTCGTTTTTAAAAGGGCTCCATCATTTCGGTACCTCAAATCCTGTCAGTAAGATTTTTGAATGCCTTCTGGGAGCTCTCCTTTTTTTTTTTTCTTCTTTTCTTTTCTTTCCTGAAATAATTTGGACCGTTTCTCGATTTACGTGTGTCATACTTCCGCAGGGGGCCATGCATTTTATTTTATTTTTTGGCTCCGTTCTATTGGTGGGGAGCGTGACCTGCTGGAAACCGCGTCCAGCATCCCATGGATATATGCTCATGACCATGCCACCGGGGCCATTACCCGGCTTCGGCTCAGAGACCCTAAGGGTCGGTCCTGTGAATGGATATATTGCTGTGGCAGCCGATGAATATAACTCGCAGTCAGCCTCTTCAGCCTCCCAGGCCGCCTGATAGGCAGAATAGTCCCTGGCTGTTGATGTCAGCTGCCTCCATGCCACTGCACGTCCACCAATGAGAAACCGTGGGGTGGGCCATGCTAATCTTCTCTGTATCATTCCATTTGTTACGGATGACCAGACAACTTCAGTTTTGTTCCAAAGGGGCATCATCCAAGTACATCGAAAGAAACAGTTTGATCCCTGAACACGTCCTCTTTGAGGCACTTTGAGCAGTTCGAGCACAGTCCCCATATCAAACATAGTAAGGGCTCCTGAAGACTTCTGAAACAAGGGGGTCTGATGGATGGAATTTTGTGGCATGAGATCTTTTCTAACCTTGAGGTACCGATGTTGTGATGTTCCCATCATCCCATGCTTATTGTGGGCTCCAAGGCGACCAATCACATGAATACTTCGTATCCGAGCTTCGTTGAGTATTCCAGCATATTGAATCTGGTCAGGAAGTTACACACTCCCTTCGTGATATTCCATGCCTCTTCATATCCTTTGATCTCCAGAGCTTGGACTAAATCATGTTCGACTACCCCGACTACCTTGTCTAAGTCTAACCTCTGTGTTCTTTTAGGGGCTATAAGTCTGGAGGTCCATGCTGCTGCTTGAGGCAGTTTACCCGCAAGTGTGGGAAGGTCCATGCTGCTGCTTGAGGCAGTTTACCCGCAAGTGTGGGAAAGTCCGTGTCAGCTCCTTCCTCCATACCTACTTGTGCTATCTGCATCGTATCATTCCTTTTGTGTTTAGTAAGGGACTTATTTATGTTGAAGAAGTTTCTTCCCCTCTGTCGTCCCGAGTCAAAGGTTGCAACGAGCCCGACAATCATGAGGAGCTTCCACAACACGATCAAGCAAGTAGTGGAACCGAAAATAATCATGAGCTGCACAAAGGCAGACAGTCACTGGAAGTGAGACAGAGGTAAAGAAGCAATGGAGAGAGAGGGAGGATAGTTTCATTCATAATTAACAATACAACTGAAACGGCTCTTCCCACCACTCCTCACCTCCAGGACCTTCTCCCACCAACTCACTACCTCAACATGCAAGTCTTTCCCAGAAGACACTGATGAAGTGACTCTGCAGGTACCAGCTATCGGCACCCAACCTCCAGCATCAATGCTGGCTATGGAGCTTGGCAACTGCCTTCCTTCAGGCTGCTGATGTGCACAGCAGCTCCACTATCACCAGCGCAACAGGTAAGTCCTCTTCCTCGCCCTGTCTCTAAGCTATAGCTGTGGCGCACAGGCGCCTTTCCTAGCTATGGCTACACTCTCCCTCTTCTTACTGCTCGGGTGCTGTCTTCCCCTGCCTGGTGCCAGCCTCGTCTCTTCCCTACCTTGCCCAGCGCCAGTCCGTCCACCAATGCATGCAAGGCAGAATGAATGAGCTGCTAGCGCAGGCAACTCTTTTTTCTAGAGTTGACCGGTCCAGGCCTGCCTCAGTTTGCCTCCTCCAACGTTGGAGATTTCTCGATCTCGGCCACCCAGGTTCGCAGTTGGCCAATGTGTGCCTGAACCAAGTAGGCTCTGTAAACTTCTGGAGCCGTGAAGACGGCCTTTGACTGTGCATCAGATCAGTGACCACAGTTGACTTCTGAGAAATCTCTGACTCTTGATCTATCATCACGAGTTTGGGCCTGACTCCTGATTTTCCTGGAGTCAACTACCTGGCATGGGGCAAAAACCCTTTTGTAACCCTGGACCCTATATCTATTAACCCAAGGACTTTTCTCAGTCCCTTCTGAGACAAAAGACACGACCTTTGACCCCTGAATCCAGACTTGGACCAAAAGTTACGACCATGGCCTATGTCTGTGCGGATTTTTAACTGAGTTTACTGCAAGGTCATTGCCGCTGTGGTAAGGCAGCTTCCCTATCCCTATTGAACGAATCATTCCGAGTACAGACTTTGATGTCAGAAATAAGTGCAGTCTTGAGGATGTAAGGTGTTGGCTTCCAATGTGCTTCATGAAGGAAAGTGCCTAACTTGTGAGCGTCAGTCTAAAAAGTTCTAGCTGTCCGGTTTTGGCATCAGGTTATGGACTGAGAAAGCTCCAGCTCTTGTCATTTGCGGACCTGTGTGTTGTGTTCCTCTCTCCTGTTTCTACTGTTTTATGAAGTATTTTTCTTTTCAAATTTTGTGAACTTAGTCTGTCTGAAGTATGTTAGCTGTCTAAGGTCCCTCCATGAGTGAAAATTCTAGCGTGATCCATATACCGTCTTCCTCATCTGCTTTCTGGTCCAGGATATTTATTCTAGAGGAAGCTCTTGAGATCTTGTACGAAGTAAGATTGCTGTTAAGTGCTCATCCTGTTCTTTGGAAAGGAGCCCGAAAACGGCTCATCCTGTTCTTTGGAAAGGAGCCCGAAAAAGTTTTTTGAACTTTTTTCCATTTTTGCCTTGTGGTCCACTCCGTCGCTAGATGATGTCGGGCTCAGACTGCCTTGCAATCCGGTCAATTGGTCAGGTGGGTGTCTGTAGACAGATGGTGTCGAGAGGATCGTTCAAAAAATGCTATCCCATTTTTCTTCTGCCTGAAGGTACAGCACATCTCCCTGCAGTGGTTGCGAGATCAACAAGGAAAGATTCTTTGGGTTGTGGATTCGAGGTGAAATGGGCAGTAGCAGATGCAGATCCCAATGCAGATCCCAGGGCTCGATCCCTAGACCTTACCACACCCATGTACAGTATCGAGTCGACCCCTGTGTGTTTGAACTTTGAACCCGTGACCTGTGTTTTGGTAGTTGACTGTTGCCTGTCATAGGTCTGTGTAGCTGACAGCATTGTAGGTGAAGATGTGTTCAGAACAGGACGTAGAGGTCGTCCACAGAAACAGTACAAGGTTCGATTTGCCTATCAAGAGCCGGAAGACGACCGCAGGTTTACCCGAACAGAGCTTCTAGAGACCACTCCCGATATAGTCCGAGCCTACGAGAGAGATAAGAAAGGTAAAGGTCCTAGTACCGTCCTACCTTAGACTGAATTATTCTCGGAGGACCTCGAATTTAGGCCGGCGGGAGTGAAACGGTTTTCCCTTTAGCAGAAGCAGATGCAGATCCCAGGGCTCGATCCCTAGACCTTACCACACCCGTGTACAGTATCGAGTCGACCCCTGTGTGTTTGAACCTGTGACCTGTGTTTTGGTAGTTGACTGTTGCCTGTCGTAGGTCTGTGTAGCTGTAGGGGTTCGATCTGTAGATCTGTCGACTAGGGGTCATAGTTGTGTAGAGGCCGAAGCTGTAGCAATTCTGAAAGGTCAAGGTCGTAGCTGCTACAGTCCTAAAAGGTCAAGGTCGTAGCTGTGCTACAGTCCCGAAAGGCCAAGTCCACAGACTTCCGGAAGGTCCGGAAGTGGCCTTTCGAGTTTTTCTCACGTTACTCACAGCAGAGCAGAAGCAAGTGGGCAAGTGGTGAATCCAACTTTCCTTAGTCAGCGGTACCCAGTCCTAGTCTCACTTTGTACAGTCAGCAAGTACCATGAGGGACTGTGTGCACCATGGGCCCGGTGGAAAAGGGCAGACCAGCGACTTACAGAGGTATAAATCAAGAGGCAGCGCCCAGCCATTCATTCACTCCTGCGTGAGCCATGCGGAAGCGCTGCCTTAGCGTCTTGTGCGAAGTGGTCCGCAGTTGCCTGAAGTCGAAGTGGGCTGAGAGGGAGATAGCGCAGCCATAGCTGCTTGGGGTTAGTGATAGCCAGCGGCCACAGCTGCCATAGCTAGCGTTAGGTAGTGAGGGTGCGTGTGGGATACAGAGTGTGTGTGCGTGGGATATTCAGGGAGGTCCGGAGTTGGGTGTGTGTGAACAGTTGATGTGAGTACAGAGTTGGGAAGTGAGGGGTGTAGGCACTAAGGCGCCATAGCCAATTTGAGGCAAGTTTGTATCCGAACTGTATTCTCGACTTGAAGATCTCTGAGCTTTTTGTGGGCGCCTGGCTCCAGTGTGTCTTGTCATCTGTTTGCATGCATGCGAATCGAGGAAGAAATCGAGTCTGATTGCAGAGGGGGTAATAAACCCAACAGCAGAGCATCCATATCACAAGGCAAACAGAACATCTCTATACTACTAACGATTGCAAAGGCCCTCGCGTGGGGCCCAGCAGAGACCGGGCCAGAACCGCACAGGGCCACCGGGACACCGACGAGGTGGGGGAAAAGCCGGGCCGGTACTGGGGGTCGAAGAATGGGGAAGCGTCGGGCTGGGGGTCGAAGCGTGCTGAGGGCTGGCAGGCGAGAGGGCGAAGTGCGAAGTGGCACCGGAACGCTGACGGACGCGGCCCGCGGGCAAGGGGAGGCTGCGCTGGGTGCCAGGGGGCAGAGAGAGAGAGAGAGAGAGAGAGAGAGAGAGAGAGAGAGAGAGAGAGAGAGAG